GCTGATCGTATCTCGAAAATTTCGTAAGTAGGGGCGTTCATAAGTAGAGGTACCACTGTAATATGCTTTCATTATTGATGACATAACAATATGCTGTACATCTCAGATGGCTGTTTTTCCATTAAATGACACTGAATTTTGTTTGTTGTTGTTCTTTTTACACACTGAACATGCTGCCACTCTCCCTGCCAGGATCCAAACCTACATCTGTCCATGAGGGCCTCCAAAGGAAGAAAGCCAAAGTGATTTGTGGGACAGTTTTGAACAGTGTGTGAAAGGAGGGAGAAGAACAGGAATGGGTGAATCTATATCAGTGTTTCTCAACCTTGGCAACTTTAATTCTGGGAGTTGAAGTCCACACATCTTAAAGTTGCCAAGGTTGAGAAACATTGATCTATATGCTTTGATTTATTTTGGTTTTTAATTTTTCCTCCTTTAAATGTTAGTTCAAATGTAGTTGCACATTTATCATATAGTGTGCACAATTTGGTTAATGTACACACTTTTTGCAAGCAAATTTACTAAATGATTGCATTTTTGTATATTACTTTTATAGTTATGTATCTTTTTGTGAAGACTTTTTGCTAGTAGACTTTCCTTTTAAATTGGGGAGCTGCATTGCAAAATTCAGTTAACTACCTATTTCAATCCTTTGTATATTGGTTCAAAATAGAAGATTAGAAAAAGTTCACATTTAAATTCTAAATTCAAGCAAACTTCCTCCCTTAGAGCTTTCTGTACAAATTCTCTGTACATTCAAAATGACATCCTGTCAAAACTGGTCTTACTTAACAAAAAGTGGAAATTGAGGTTTATTTCTATATGTTACATATAATGAGTAATTGGCCCTAAGCCTTCCTGTTAACCCAATTTAGTTTGCATCACTATGACACTTCAAAAATGTCAGAACAAGGCCAAATATCCAGGATGATGTTTTGACCAAATTCTGCTTTTCTTCCACTACTTCACTTATTCCATTCAGATTGTAAATGTCAAGTCATCTGGAGTCTGCTGTGTGCTTGTTGAATCACTTCTAATTATAGCAATCTCATCCATTGTAAAATCAAAGGGGTCTGTCCAGAAGTCTACAAAATCTCAGCAAGCCTATTTTCTCAGGCCTTCTGAAAGACAATAGACTAAATTTAATGCTTAGAAATTGTAGATGTTCTAATGCAAAGTGTGACCATGGAGACACACAAGTAGACAGAAGAAGTAAAATAAATTTCATTATGAGTTCTTCTTGAATAATCATCTTGTGTTCACTTGATCCTGAGAGCTTTTCAAATTCAGCTCACTCTTAGGCAGAACGGTGAGGGAAGAATAGCCGTTTTTCATGACTTTCATATCAGCTGTTTAAAGTCTGATGTTTCAGTCTTTGTGAGAAAAAGTAAGTTCCTGGTACAGAACAGGCCAGTAGGGTTCTTGGAAGAATTCTGTGGAGCTTGAAGAGAATTGGAGAATTACTTAGCTTTTTTTTTTGTTTTGTTTTGCAGGTAGCCAATTGACTGGTTTATCAACCAGTGATTGCAGAATGTAACCAGAGAAACAGGCTGAGGGGCAGGTGACAACAAGAATGAGAAAAGGCAAAATGTACTCATGTTCAATGGGTAGACTGATTTAAAGTTACAGCAGTTGCCATTTACTGTAATTATTCATTTTTGCCCTTACATACTTCCCCTCTCAGTTCAAGTCTGGTAATGCCTTATGTTGAACATGAAAGCTGAGAAGCGTTAACTTGATGAGAAATTATATGCTTTATCGTAGATTACATTTTCCACTTGCACAAAGGTAGCATATGGCTCCAAATCATTTTCCTACAAAACAAGGAAAGAGTTTGAGAAGAAAAGGCATTGCTTGTTCTGAATAAAGTTCTGAAGCATTCTTTAAAAATGGAAGTATCGATAACCCTGTCTAATTCTTTTGTTTCATTCTATACACTGTTTATATTTGACTTATACCTGACAGAAAAAAATATGACAAAATCACCTTTACATGATTGGATTTTTGCATTACAAAACACACTGAGATGCTAATCATTATGATTAGTTACTGAGTCCATGTTTATAACACAGGTGACATCTGAACTTCTACATTAAACACTATCCCCCGCCCCCCCCCCAAATTATACCCCCAAACCTTATGTGCAAGCATAATTACACATTGTGGGTGGTAGCAAATGAATTTTTTGTTTTCTTTTTTACAAAAAGAGGCTTATTCTTTCTTTCGTTCATTCTTAAAGTATAGTTATCCTGAAGTTAAGTTGTAGAGGATTTCCAAAATGGAAATTTCCTTACTGTGAGATACTGCAACATCTTTCACAGATAAAAGGTCTTCAGATTCTCCTTCTCTGCCACAGTATTTCATTTGTTTTACTAATGGCAAACTAACTACAGTGGATGGCAGGCTTGGAGGAATAGGGGACATCTTTCCTGGATTAGAGGCAAAGGCTAACCCATGGATTCTTGAGCTGAGACCCTCTGTTGGTAATCTTGTCATCTAAAACTGTAACTGGGCTCACTTAAAATAAGAGTAGACTACCGTCCTTTTTCTTTTTGGAGTCCTTGGTACTCTCTGAGCTTGGCTGTTTGATTGCAGACATTTCATTACCCAACTAAATATCATCAGTGCTAGTGAGTGTGGGGTTTGTTCCCTATTTATATACAGTAGCTTGCCCTACCAGTGTTGGTGGGGATGTGGTTTTCTCCTTGGTAGTTTCTTAATTAGGGTATTGTTTTCTGCTTGATTGGTTGTCTGGTATTAACACCCTGCTTCTCTGGGTATAGGCTGCTGGAGAGGATGTATTCTCATCTTTTTGTTTCCTTCATAGCTTTCTTATTGTCTCTTTTGAATGGTGTGTAAATGTGGTTTATCTTTATGTGTCTATTGATGGCTGATGTGTCTGAGTGCCAGACTTCCAGGAATTCCCTAGCATTTATGGGTTTAGCTTGGTCTAGGATGCTCAGAGTTTCCCAGTTGAAACTATGGTTGAGTCTGTCCCTGTTTTGTGAGATTAAGGAGTTTTACTAATACTGTTCTGGCTTACATACAAATCTGACTTAAGGACAGATCTTGGGAATGGAACTGGGGACTATCTGTAGTTTCTACATGCTGCATTATAGTCTCTGCTATGAGTCTTGAGAGTGGTGATCCCAAGGGTGATTTGTTGGTATATTTGTCCATCAAACAGAAAGTAGGTAATGAGGCAGAGGTTGATGAAGTCCATGATTCTGGGTATTTCAATCTTAATGTATTTGGTTAAGTTGGGTGTGTTGTATAGTACTGCTGCCATGGATTATTTCACTAGTTCTGGGTCTATGAATGCAAAGAGTACTGTGACATCAAATGAAACCATAATTTCATCTTCATCTATTTTTAGGTCTTTGATTTTCTGGAGGCACTGTTGATAGAATATTCACTCCTCTCTGTGAGTGAGTCCCCTTTGACTGAGTTGATTCGCTTGATTTGCTCCCCTCTGTGATTCGCTCCCCTTGATTCGCTCTCCTCTGTGAGCAAGTCCCCTCCTCTCTGTGAGTGAGTCCCCCCGTTTTTTTCCCCACTTGGGGAGGAGCTATTACAGCAAGTGTGGATTTTATTTTGGAAAATAGCTTGGTCACTTAACTGAGTCCAGTACAGCTGTGTTAGAAATAAGATTTTTTTTTTTTTTTGGTATGGAGAGGAAGGAAGGATTATGGATGACTAATAACATAATTAAAAAACATTGGGGGGATTTATAAATGTACTGTCCCCAGCAGTTTTGTCTTGCTGTGGTACTCCTTTTCTGACAGAAGACTAGAGTTCCTATTGTTATGGCAGACCTTGGGAACATGGAGGAGGGGCCAGGACTATTATAGGAAAGATTCCTTAATCCAAGGAAGAGGGAAGCATGAGAAAGAGATGCAGATTAACTTTACCTTAATTACACTAGGTATAAAGTGATCTGGAGAATTTGTTTTTAGGCTCTTGAGATTCTGTTACATTACTCTACTAGCAATAAAGATCACTCCAGAAATCCAAGTGATACTTGTTTCATGAATTTGTCAGCCTCAAAGAGCTTGGCACCACTGAAATTAAGTTAATAAAAACAATTTGGAGAATAGTCTAGCATAAGATGCACTAACAAAACTGTTTGATGCAGCTGTTGGACCTTACCGAGGGTGGTCTTTAAGATATAACCACCTCTGATATAGTTGTGGTGAAAGTGACAAAGTTGAACATTCTTTTTTGAATTTTGAACTACATCAAAAAAGGCTGAATCTAGCATTTGAGAGTTGATCACAAAGGAAATAAACATACTGAAGGAATATGTTTATTTCCTTTGTGATCAAC